TGTTATTATTACTTCTGCGCCTGGTGCATTCAATTTGTCAAGCCTTATTGGCTTTTAAAGATGCACCATTTTTTCCATTTGCACTATGGTTTATACCTTCACATTTTCTTTACATTTTGAATGCTGTTATGTCAATTTATATGTAATTTAATATTGTTATCTGTTATGAAATTCCATATTTTATCTTTGTATATATTGTCAGGGTGATGAAAATAAATTCAATTCAATTCGTGAAAACTTTCAACTTTCATAAAATGTACTATAATCTTTTCTTTTTGTAACATTAGCTATACTGACCCCCCTTTTTTTTTTCTTGTTATTTTTTTTTTTTTGGGGGGGGGGGAGGGCAACCCGCCTGGCAAGAGGGATTTGTTTAAAATTCTTTAAACTAGTCAGCTTTAAAGAATTTTACCCCTATGTGAAAAGGAGGGATGTGCCGTAGTGCCGGGCAACTTTCTCATTTGTTTTAACATACAAAATGACTAAAAGTTCAATATATCAACTTGGGGGCAACTGATCAGCCCCCCCCCCCCCCCCCACTCCCACGAATGGACACACACTACGCGACTGTGTGGCTTATGTCCAAGTTCATGATGCTGTTTACAGTACTTTGTGATTTGGATTAATGCTAGCATCTCAAAAGACGAAGCCTTGGATAACGCTTTGTCAATAGCATGCGTTGAGACATTTTTATTTTACTCCCAACTACTGACAGACGGCCATCAATACACTTTACTGCTGATGTACACCGGATGTCCATTGATGGTGACAGTTATGTTTAATATGGAATAAGCGTACCCCAAAGTTCAGTTGGAGTATTGTCATATCTGTCAGTTTTGGTAATTATGGGCCATAAACTTATAAAGCTATAGCGACCCTCAGCATTAATAGACTCAGTGATTCCTAACAGTTTTAACTTGGATCATTCACTGCCCCCTGTCCAATCCGATGGAATAACTTAGGTAGGAGTTTCGTAATAATATTATGTGCTGTATAATATAAGTGATTAATTACATTTTCCTTTCCACCCCCCATGTTTTAATACTTAATAAATTTGTCTCTCTCTATCTCTCTCCCACTCCCTCTTCCTCTTTTAAATTCTCTCTCTCTTTCTCCTTCTCACTCTCTATCTCATATTTGATTTCATTCTTTATCACCCTTTCTTTTTTTTATCTTCTTTTTCGGCAGACAACGATACCCCGCTTCAGGCGCGTATGCAGGGGGGGGGGGGGGGGGTTGGGGTTAAACCCCCTTCTCCCTTGAGTTTTTTTATGTGTATGTTTTTTGGCAAACCCCCCCCCCCCAACAAAAAAAAGTGTCCTCTTGACCCCCCCCCCCCCCCCCCGCTTATTCAGCGGCTGGCTGAGACATTGCGATTTTGGGGGGACTTCAAAAAAAAAAAAAAGTGTCCGCTTACGGTACCCCCCCCCCCCCCCCCCCCCCGCTTATTCAGCGGCTGGCTGAGTCGTTGCGAATTTTGGGCCCGATTTTAACCCCCTCCCCCCTCCCCCCTCCCTTGAAAAAATCATGCGTACGCCACTGCCCCGCTTTATACGGATTTGAATGAGAGACGAATTTATGATGAAAACCTGTATGCATTCTTTAATTCAATTCAATTCAATTTCATTTATTGTTCAACCATCAAAATATATATACAATCAAAATAAGTTACATCAAGATTTAGAATAACGCAATGATGGTTTGGTGACCCCGGAGAAAGCAGAGCTTATAAAAAGGGCCACCAATACATAAAAAGATTAACATTAATTATACTAAAAAATATCAACATCGAACATTAATATAAACAAGAAAAAAAAAAGAGAAGTACACTTCTGCAGCAGCAACAAAAAACTGTATCTACATGTATAAGAGGGCAGTACAAATGAAAGCGAACAAGAATAGCTTTTTAAGCTTTTTAAATCTGGAAAGAGTTGAGCTGTTTTTGATATTGTTGGGGATTTTGTTCCATAAAATGAATTATAAATGAATTTGAGGCGACGGAAGAACGAACCTGAGGTAAGTGTATTAAATTACTTTGGTGAGTTTGGTAAGAATGAATTGAGGAATTCAAAACAAAGATATCGCTAAGGAGAGGAGGCAAGATTTTCGAATGAAATTTATACATAAACACAAGGGAATTCAAGGTAATCAGGTCCTTTAACGGTAATATATTTGATTGTGAGAATAAAGGTTTTGTATGACTATTGAAGGGAGCATTAAAGATAATTCGTATTGCTTTCTTTTGTAAAATGCATAATTTATCTAAATGGGTTTTAAAGGTGTGACCCCAGACAGTATTACAGTAATTGAAATGAGGGAGTATAATGCTATTGTAAAGAGTCGTCAGAATAGACTGGGGCACAAAAAGTCTTAATTTAGAAAGAACACCAATAGATCTTGATATTTTTGTACAAATTGAGCTAAGATGTGGTTTCCAAGAAAGATATTCATTCAAAATTACACCTAAAAACTGCATATTATCGACCTTTTCTATGACATTTCCACCAATAATGAGGTTTGACAGATTTGACGGAACCTTCCTTCCTCTCGCACGAAAAATAATATACCTAGTTTTGTCAAAATTTAAAAACAATTTATTGCAAGCATACCATTTATTTAATTTGTCTAGTTCATTGTTTGCTGATGATATAAGATTGTCAATTTTTTTATGTGATAATGAAACAGTGGTATCATCAGCAAACAAAGAGAAGTTTAGAATTGAAGAACATTTAACTATATCATTAATGTAGACGAGAAAGAGGAGGGGCCCTAACACAGATCCCTGAGGAATTCTACAGGATACATCCACATGTTGAGATTTGACACCATCGATCACCACATATTGATTTCTATGTAAATAAAGTAAGGAAAAAACAGTTTACGCATTTCTTGTCGGTTTATTTTGTAACTTTAATTTACAATTGTACGTAACAAGTTCGCATAAAATACAAGCAAGAGCAGTGGGTGCTAGAATTCGAAATGTTCTCAATTTACAGGAAATGTATGATGTTTATACACTATATTTACATCTTTTTCAATGTGGGAATGTGACATCGCCATTGAAATTACATGTCGGCGTTCTCATTATTGTTTTTTTCTTCTAATTTGCAGATAGAGATATGGAATTTGTTATTGAGTGAAATATCATTTTGTCAAGAAAATCACAGGTATGCGCGCGTTGGGGTCAAGTGAGATTCCTTGAAGAAGGGGAGCGGCATTCACACGCATATCGTTTCAGTCCCTTCAAGGACTAAAATATGAAAGACGCTTCGCCGTCCCTGGTTTTAGTAAATTGGGATCTAGTTAAATACGTCCAGGGTCTACAATTTTGGATATGGTCTGGACAAGTTATGGAGAAATGAACCAGCCGAGTTCAAATTTTGACGCCGACACATATACAGAGTGAGTCAGAAAAAATGTCCCACTTTTTAAAAGTTGTATTGTTTGAAGTATGAATATTTAATCATGGGTTTTATGATATGTCTTGATAGAGTTATCCTCCCAGTACATTTAGGTACCATTCTCATTTGAATCTATGCATGCATGACTGAACATCAGACAATCTTTACAAGACTGCCAAAGCTCATTTGCGCCAAGTTGCTGGGTGAGGAATAAAAAAGTGTTTTGAACAAAGACAGCCAGACAGACAAAAAAAAAAGACACGCGAACGCACACGCACACAAATGAGCGTTCCATTCCCACTAAAGCCTACCTAACAAGGCTTGTTCATACCCTGGCTGTGAATGGTCATCCACACATGAGGCGTTCATTCATAGCATAAACATAGTCCTATTCTTCTACCGATTCTATACCTTATAGAGTGTAATAGTAAAACATAAGTACAAACTTGTGCACTTGCAAAACTCATCATTTCATTAACATATACCGGCAATATATGTACATGAACACTCAAGTAAATCGGCATTAACACTCTTTGGATGCACATCCACATCTAACACCTATGTATAAGCTAGTTATTATTATATATTCACTTCTGAATATATTTATGTGCGTCCAATAGTCTGTAAAATATATGATTAGATTAATATGTCAAATAATGTAATTTCTTACTAAAAAGATCGTAATTGTTCAACTATTATAATTGTGTTTATAAGATTATACCACCTGCATTATATATGAATAGTTACACAATTGTATACGATATGCATTTTTGTTACTACATTCTATTATATTTAAATTTTTAGATTAATCATGTAATATATTGTATTATTGATTGTTGTAAAGCGCATAGAAAATGTATTATTATGCGTTTTATACAAATGACTTTAGTATTATCATTAGGAGATTTGCTACATCTCGCGGCCGATCATCTAATAACACAGACACAATGAGAATTCCAGACTTTGAAAAAAGTACAAGTAGAAACCATAATGGCAGATTTTGCAGTGTTCACCTTAAACTGGAATTATGACGCCGATCTTGTCTTCTGATCAAAATTTGAATCATATATATATATATGAGGCCCAATCCTTTACTTCGAAATGTAGTGTCATGAATATCTCGTTCGGTCATTCCTAGGAAAACGAGCAGCGTTTCCAGCACTTCAGATAGCTGATAACAGATTGGATGTGGTTAAACAATTGACATTATGAGATGTCACGCTTCAATCTGGTCTAAATTAAGTGGGAAACCAATGTTTTTTACTATGGTTTCAAAGGCTAGCAGACGTTTCTAGATTCGGTGTCGACGAAAAAAATGTGAAATGTCGACCTCTGATTCAAGATTCAAGATTCAGGATTCAAGATTTTTGTATAGGTCAATGCATGCAAACCTTACATAATTGTTTTGCTTCCAATGGCTTTTTTGACAGTGAAAATACAAATGATAGAAAATACAATATAACATTTAACAATAGAAAACGATGTACATTTAATATGGATAATTATTTATAATGTGCATGTGCCCCTCAATTTCATATTGTCTACAATTAACATGCGTCATGAATTAAAATGTCTCATAATATTTCCCGTCAGCCTCCCCCCCCCCCCCCCCCCCCCCTATCCGCTAGCTCCCGATCCACAGTCTCCAGTTATCCGTTTAATTGCTCTTCAATAGCAGCTATTGAAGTGCAATTAGGCGGATAGCTATCGAAATCAACAATAACAATTTCAAATCCAGTAGGAAATATATGATTATAAAAAAGGCAGATAGCCTTATGTATATAGTCACAGATGAATTATACACATGGATGGAATTGGGGATGAATGAATTACGAGAACGTGAAAGGCGAGTATACGGGGAGGGCAAAATCTCATTCCAGAACGGTTGAACCTGAAACAATCATTGAGAGGATGATCTTTCATTATAACTTTAACTTTTGCAAGTAGGTGTTTTTCATGAAGTGCTGGAACAGGGGGCAGATCTGATCCTATAACCCTCTGTGCGACTCTTCGAGTTCGATCTACTCTTCCCTTTTGCTCGTTTGACATGTGTTTGGTGATGATCTCGTGACTCAAACGGAGTTTTACCCTTTAGGTTTGAATGCTTTCCAAGAACCACAACATGGCATCATTTGTTTATTGTCTCCTGTCATTGTAAAATAATTTGATATGATGCATGTATCTTGATATTAATTAATTTTGAGCAGCGCTTTGCTCACATTCCAGACACTATACAACGCTACCTTGGCATCTGGGGTCAAGATAACCTACAGCACAATATTCCCATCTTGTCTCAGGATCGGTGGTGTAACACCAGGCAGTGTTCTCAATATCGGGGTTTCTGCAATAGTTTTCGTCTAGTCCCGCGTTAGGAAAGTGAGCTGGAGTATTAGCGTGTTCATGGGGATCCTGAGAGGTCCATGTTTGACAAGTATGACCTTTGACTGTGTGAGATAAGTTTCCTCTGTAGTGCACTCCTGTAGGATCTTCCTGGCATGCTGGTGTGGCTAGAGAAAAAACACAGAGTAATTTTCAAAAGAGATAGCAAAAGTAATATCTGTTTGATTCTCAATATTAATTTGCTCCATCTTTTCCCCCGGATAGGCAATTTTCTACTTTTATGCAACGATTAATTCACAGACAAAATAATAATTTCTTGCGCCAGTCACTTACAAATACGACGACGCTTGAAGTGTATGCCATTTGACTTTATAATACTTACCTGTCATAATCACTGCCTAGCGCCAACTTGAAAAATATTCAATATTCTAAACAAACACCAAAGATGACTACCCTCTAGACAAGCACCGAAAATGACTACCCTCTAGACATACACCAAGATGACAACCCTATAGACAAACACCCAAGATGACTACCCTATAAACAAGCACCCAAGATGACTACCCTCTAGACAAACACCTAAGATGACTACCCTATAGACATACACCCAAGACTACTACCCTCTAGACACACACCCAAGACTACTACCCTCTGTACAAACACCTAAGACTACTACCCTCTGGACAAACACCTAAGACTACTACCCTCTGGACAAACACCTAAGACTACTACCCTCTGGACAAGCACCAAGATGACTACCCTATAGACAAGCACCAAGATGACTACCCTCTAGACATACACCAAGATGATTACCCTCTAGACAAACACCCAAGACTACTACCCTCTGGACAAACACCTAAGACTACTACCCTCTGGACATACACCAAGATGACTACCCTATAGACAAGCACCAAGATGACAACCTTATAGACAAGCACCAATATGTCTACCCTCTAGACATACACCAAAATGACTACCCTCTATACAAACACCAAGATGACAACCCTCTAGACAAACACCAAGATGACTACCCTCTAGACATACACCAATATGACTACCCTCTAGACACACACCCAAGACTACTACCCTCTGGACAAACACCTAAGACTACTACCCTCTGGACATACACCAAGATGACTACCCTATAGACAAGCACCAAGATGACAACCCTATAGACAAGCACCAAGATAACAACCCTATAGACAAACACCAAGATAACTACCCTCAAGACATACACCAAGATGACTACCCTATAGACAAACACCTAAGACTACTACCCTCTGGAAAACACCGAAGAAATTGCTGAAAACAATATGTTACTTAAATATTAAGAAATAAGGGGAGATCAGATCGAATAGTGAATTGTACATTTGTATAAAATGTTGATTAACAACAATACCCATATGCATATGATTTTAAACACACGCACATCCGCCTACGCACACATTGTGATTCACACAATCAGTGGGTTTTTTACTCTTTAGGTGTGAATGCTTCTCGAGAACCACAATATAGCATCATTAGTTTCTTGTCTCATGTCAATGTAAAATATTTTGAGCAGCGCTTTGCTCACATTCTTAACACTACAACGCTACCTTGGCATCTGGGGTCTAGATAACCTACGGCACAAAAATCCCATCTTGTCCCAGGATTGGTGGTGAAACACCAAGCAGTGAATTCCATATCGGGGTTTCTGCAATAGTTGTTGTCTAGTCCCGCGTTAGGAAAGGCAGCTGGAGTAACAGTGTGTTCATGGGGATCCTGAGAGGTCCATGATTGACAAGTATGATTGTTGATTGTGCGAGATAAGTTACCTCTGTAGTTCACTCCTGTAGGATCATCATGGCATGCAGGTGTGGCTAGAGAAAAAAAAAACGAGTAAATTTTTTGAAGAGATTGCTAAAGTAATATGTTTTCGATTCTGAATAATAATTTGTTCCACCTTTCCCCCCGAAAAGGCAATTGTCTACTTTTATGCAACGATTAATGCATAGACCAAATAAGAATTTCTTGCGTCAGTCACTTACAAATATGACGACGTTTAAAGTGTATGCCATTTGACTTCATTATACTTACGTTTCAGAATCACTGGCCAGTGCCCACTCGAATTACATTCAATATTCTACACAAACACCCAAGATGACTAGTCTACCCTCTGGACAAACACCTAAGCTGACTTTCTTCTAGACAAACACCCAAGATGACTACCCTCTGGACAAACACATTAAACTACTACCCTCTGCACAACACCCAAGAAATTGCTGATAACCGCAATATGTGACTTAGATATTAAAAAACTGGGGAGGAAGAAAGAAATCGAAAAGTAAATTGTACACTTGTATGAAACATTGATAAATAATAACACCTATGTGCATATGATTTAAACACACGCACATCCGCCTACGCACACTCTAATGTGACTCATACACTGAGTGGGATTTTTACTCTTTATTTTTGAATGCTTTCCATGAACCCACAATATAGCATCATTCGTTTCTTTTCTCCTGTCATTGTAAAATAATTTGATATGAATGCATGTATCTTGATATTAGTTGATTTTGAGCAGCGCGTAATTTGTTCACTTTCTAAACACTACAACGTTACCTTGGCAGCTGGGGTCAAGATAACCTACGGCACAATACTCCCATCTTATCCCAAGATTGGTGGTGTAACACCAAGCAGTGTACTCCATATCGGGGTTTCTGCAATAGTTGTTGTCTAGTCCCGCGTTAGGAAAGGCAGCTGGAGTAACAGTGTGTTCATGGGGATCCTGAGAGGTCCATGATTGACAAGTATGATTGTTGATTGTGCGAGATAAGTTACCTCTGTAGTTCACTCCTGTAGGATCATCATGGCATGCAGGTGTGGCTAGAGAAAAAAAAAACGAGTAAATTTTTTAAAGAGATTGCTAAAGTAATATGTGTTTGATTCTGAATAATAATTTGCTCCATCTTTTCCCCCGAAAAGGCAACTATCAACTTTTATGCAGCGATTGATGCATAGATGCAACGACAGACCAAATAAGAATTTCTTGCATTAATTATACTTAATTATACTTACGTGTCAAAATAACTGCCCAGTGCCCACTTGACTATCATTCAATATTCTAGACAAACACCCAAAATGACTACCCTCTAGACAAGCACCTAAGATGACTACCTCCTGGACATACACCCACTGGCGTAATGAGCGAAAATATTTTGGGGCGCAATCTTTGCGAGGGAGCAGGGGAGGATGTGGGGGTGTCCCCCCCCCCCTCCCACGGAGAAGGAAATTTTGACTTGACGACATGTACTAAATGGGTAAGTGTGTCACGAGGACCGACCGAGCAATTTTTTTTTTTTTTTTTTTTTTGGGGGGGGGGTGACCAAGCCCGAGGGAGTGTAGCGATCGAGCGGGGGGAGGGTGTGGGAGGGGGTGTACCCCTCCCATGGTAGGGATCTTTTTCATTTTCGACTTGAAAATGTGCAATCTGGGGCATACCTAAGAACGAAATTTTGACTTGACGACATGTACTAAATGGGTAAGCGTGCCACGATTCGACCGACCGAGAATTCTTTTTTTTTCTTCATGAATTCGGAAACATAATTATGAAAATAAGCACCCCCAAATAACCTTCGAAACATGTCAAACACATGCCAAAGTTACACCAAATACTACATTGCTTACAATATATTAATATGAACGAGATACCCAGACGTAGAAACGAGAGAACGAAACGAACGAGCATGGAGAGGATGTGATGCAGTGGGTGTCATTCCCACGATTAGGGAGCTTTTGCAATATTGAGAGTTGGCATCTTTATAAACTGTACCATGTGGCCCTACAAACTACTTTTTAGTAATGACGTATTTTCAGTTATCTGGTATTATCTGTTGTTTGTATTATGATGAGGCTTTTCATCCACCCACAATAGTACGTTATCACTGCTATAAAACGAAATCAGTTGAATGGCTTACACTGAGTTAATATCCAATCAATTGTATCGATCAAAGTGTAACATACAAGAAATCATTATACAACTCAGATAAAGACTGAGTGAGAGAGAGAGAGGGGGGTAGAGAGAGAGAGTGGGGGGAGAGAGAAAGAGAAAGAGAAAGGGGGAGAGAGTGGAAAGTGGAGGGGATTAAAGAGAAAGAGAGAGAGAGAGGGGGGGAGAGAGAGGGGAGAGAGAGGGGAGAGAAAGAGGGGAGGGGAAGTGGCTAGACATATTGAAATAATGATCAAGTTCATGACGTCATTTCATTGTTTCCCTTACTTACTGGAAATGGTGGTTTCTTCATTTGTCGTTGTGTCTGGCATCGTGGCCGTAGGGCTTGTCGTTGGCTTGATCGTCGATTCTGTAGTCGATAATTCAGTTGACTCTGAATCGTTATAACAAACTGATCTAAATTATCACGATATAGTTGATAATTCAGGTTTATAACAAATGAAACCACACGTACAAAACAATGAGATTAGGAATGACACTTTAAACAGGATTAGAAGACCAAAACGAGGAAAATTTAGCTCCGTGAAAAGAAAAATGTTAACAGTTTATTTCTTTTATAAAGCTACCGTCACAAAGGTTCGTACGAACGATGCGTTCGTACGATTCTCCCTGTTTTTCCAAGGTCTTCCCGAATTTCCATTGTCTGAAAATCGTTCGTACGGCGTTTGTAGCAGTTCGTAATGGCATTTGTGACCTAGGCTTTAGGTATAATTTGTTTGAATTTGAATTTGAATTTGAATTTGAATTTATTAACAACAACACATCACAATAATGACAGTACATATGAACAATCATACAATGCAAAAAATAATACTGATACATGTATACATAACATAAGAGTAATGTCGATTGAACAGTAATGGTTTTAAAACGATATTTAGACATACATCTGCATACTATTAAATGTACAAAAGATATATACGTAAATATGTGTATTACTTTTTTTAGGTGAAGTTGTTAATGGGAATGTCAGCGTTTGCTTTAGAGATTTAGTGGTGTTTTGTCAAAGCCAAAGGGAATTTTGCCAAATAATGTATCTAAATGTGTTCCTGTGGCGTGTTTTTGTCATTAAACTCATGGTCTTAAAAAAGACGGGTATTTAGCCCCCTCCCCCCCCCCCCCCCCAAAAAAAATGGTTTAACAATACCCCTGAAAGGAGAAGACAAAGAAAAAGAGTCAGGTAAAATTAAGAAATAAAGAGAGATTTAAAAGAAGAAAAAAAAGAAAAAAAAAGAGAGAGGGTGGAGGGGGCTGCAAGCGAAGTTGTGAGAGGGGGAGGAGAGAAAGAGAGAGAGAGAGTGGGGGGGGGGAGTGGTAGTGGCTAGACACCTTAGAATAATGATCAAATGCATGACGTCATTTCATTGTTACTTCTACTTACTGGTGGTGGTGGTTTCTTGAGATGTCGTTATGTCTGACATCGTGGTCGTTGGGCTCGTCTCTGGCTTGGTAGTCGCTACCGTAGTTGATGGTTCTGTTGACTCTGAAACGTTATAACAAGCTGCGTTAAATGATCATGATATAGTTGATGGTTCAGGGTTATAACAAATAAAACCACACAAACATGTATAAAGCAATGAGATTAGGAATGATACCTAATTGGATTTGAAGGCCAAAACAAGAAAATATAGCATTGCCCTTGAAAGGAAAGGACGAAGAAAAGAGAGTCAGATAAAGACTGAGAGAGAGAGAGAGAGAGAGAGAGGGGGGGGGTTCGAAAGGACGTGGGAGAGGAGGAAAGGGGAAGTGGCTAGAAAAATTATAATAATGATCAAAAATCGAATGCATGACGTCATTTCATTGTTTCTCTTACTTACTGGTGGTGGAGGTTTCTAGCGATGTCGTTGTGTCTGACATCGTGGCCGTTGGGCTCGTACCTGGCTTCGTCGTCGCGTCCGTAGTCGATAGTTCTGTTGACTCTGAAACGTTTTTAACAAACATTACTGAGATAAATAATGATGATCTAGGGTTATAACAGGGAATATTTTGTTATTGTTGCTGTATTGTTGGCGTTCAGTCAAAATTGACTATTTATACGCCTGTCTCTCAAATAGTAGTAATATTGTCTATGTCCGTCAAATCATTTGTCGTTGAGAAAAGTGTGCGCCTGTGCTTTCGTTTGTCCACTGCGGGGAATGTATCATCCCGGCATCCCGGGGAATATGTCAAGTTGGATGAGAATTCTATATAAACATAGACCTGATGTAACTCGTTTGTTGTCGTTAAACTTGTAGGCAAAAAAAAATAAAGACGGGCACTGCCTCCTTATAAGGTGATTTAGCGACGCCCATGAAAGACAAAGAAAAATAGAGTCAGATAAAGACTGAGAGAGAGAGAGAAAGATATATATATATATATATATATATAAGGGGGGGGGGCTATAATGCCTAGATCCATTATGATAATAAGCAAATGCATGACTTTTTTTCCATGTTTCTATCGCTTAGACATACTAGATATTGTGGTGTTTTGGGAAGTCGTTGTGTCTGAGCGTTCCGACATCGTGGTCGTATGGCTCGTCGTTGGCTTGGTCGTCGCTTCCGTCGTTGACACTGTGACCGCTGAAGAAAAAAAATGTAAAAGATGATGCATAACATTATTCCCTTTGAATTTATCTTCCTACCGGCTGTCTCCATGTGCTCTTGGTCAGGGTACGGGGATAGGATCAAGGGGGAGGGATAGAAAAAATAGGCATTGGAAAATAATCTTCCTGTGGGAGTGCCAGAAGATCGAGTACCGTGAGGTATTTTCTTCTCAGTCATCATCAATTCTTCTTATTATTATTGCTGTTAATATACTTCAGTTGCAGTACCGTCTCTGCCACCGTCATGGTTGTCGATCCTTACCTAATACTTATTGTTCAAGGGGGATGAATGAATAGATCATCCCCCCTGAACAATAGGTATCAATTACAGATCGACACCCATGGCCACCGTTGTGTATATCGTACTGGTGAGGTGCAGTGTAGAATGCATTTACGATGTCTGATAAAAGATACAGCAAACTGCATGTATTTTTAAAGAGGAAATTTTGTTTACACCCTGTAAAAACAAAAGTATCGTCATGCTCTTTGTTCATTAACTGGCCACTCCCTCCCCTCGATACGCCAATTATATTACACCTACGTTCATCGCAGTGTCTTCCTTGAAACCCACTTGAGCAATGACATTTGTAGCCCACCATAGTCTCCTCACACCGGCCGTTTCGACAGAGTTTTTTGCCACAATCTGCGAAATAAGTAATAAACGGGATACAACTCAATACTGATTAACAAATTATCATTACACTTTGTTCTAATTGGTGTGAAAAGAGTATATTTTCGGGCTTTTGACAAATGAATATATAAAAGATAAACAAGACTAAAATGCAAATGCGTATCCCTTTCATTGGTATCCGTGCCCCTTCTAAAATGTATGTTTTGCCTGGTGATTTTTAGTGGCCCTGGTTTACACATGGGTCTATAGTTTAGGTTAGAGCTGCTATTGGCCTTTAGAATAATGTTAGAGATAGGGTTAGGATTAGGGTCAGGGTTAGGTATTTTATGATTTCTAGTTACAAGAAAATCGAGCCTTTATAGACTTCCGCCTTTTTATTTAAACAGAACAAATAAAGAGGCAGATTCATTTTTGGTGAAAGTTTTGATAAAATGGGACAAAAAATGAGACAGTCGAGAATTTTTGAAAGTTTTAAGGGCACTTCGAATTTGCTAAATCGGTACTGTTACTGTGACGAGCGCTGGAAAAACTTTTGAAATTGTGTCAACACACAAAATAACTAAATTTCAAATTTTAAAATGTTTGACGTGGGAGGGCCTTTTTTAAGAGGATGGATGATAGTCTGATGTCCGTAATAATCATATTTTAGATCTTACCGTGAATACATTTTCGCTAGGAGCCCGAGTCATACAACCTGGCGTTATCTAGATTTTCCTACCTGCACTCTAATAAAATAAATCGCGATATAGAAACGGTGGCCTTGTCCTAAGTAATTATTATAACGAAATTTTTGGAAAATTGAGATAGTACTAGCAATAGCAGCAGTAGTAGTAGCAGTAGTGGTCGAATAATTAGTAGTAGTAGCAGTAGCATCAACAGCAGCATCTGTAGTAAACTCGTCAGCCGTTCCACCGTTGATCAAACGAAATACCAACCAATGGATTTATATACCATCAATAATAAATACTCAAATCACCCAGCAGACTGTAATTAATGATCTATCGATTTACTATTAATGGATTACTTGCCAAATCTTCTCGACCTTTTGAACAACTTTCTAATTAAACGATTAATTTTCATAATGTAAATAGGTTTACAAAATTGGGACAGCAATTTCACTGCGTAGAGAAATTTTTTTTGGCCGGACATATTTTCGACATTCGATTGAGTTAAAAACAGAAAAATATATGAAACAAAGTTATGGAAAGGAGATATTCTTCTTGTCATAATGTGACAATAATTTCGTTACATACACATCTTTTTAAAGATATATTATATTATCATTATCATTATCATTATTGTTGTTTTTGTTGATATTATTATTATCTTTACTATTATCATAATGTTTTTCATCATTATTATTACTATTACATATCATCATTATGAGCAGCAGTAGTAGTAGTGGTGGTAGCAGTAGTAATAGTAGTAGTATTAGTAGTAGTGGTGGTAGTAGTAGTCGTCGTCGCACTAGTAATATAAATAATAGTGTAGTAGTAGTAGTAGTAGGAGTAGATTTATCGATTAAACCAAAAAAAGAATGAATTTGACATTTGAGGACAAAAATTAATAAGGAATTAAACCTACCCTGGATTCTGCATATTCTATGCCCGCCCAGGATCCCTTCTTTTCTCTTCCTTCGGTGGCACCCGCCGATGACAGAAGGAAAAGGAATGAGTTTGGGGATGCTCTGCACCATGCTGCCATCGTGGAGTCGCTTCATTTCACACTTTTGGAACATGGGCAAAGTGTAATTTAGGCCGAACCCATCTGGACAAGTTGTCTTCTCCATCTTGGACCAATCCGATAACACAGGCAGAGCTGTGAAGAATATATTAGAACATTAATTGCTATTTGTTTTCTTCCTCCCCCTCCTCCTCCTACCCGCCCTGCTACGTACTTCTCTCCCCTCCCCCTCCTCCTACTCTTTTTCTCCTTATTCTCCTCTGCTCCTTCCCTCATTAATTCCTCTCCTCCCTATTCTTCATCTCCTACTCATCCTTATATAGCCCTTCTCGAGCCTAATCCACCTCCTTTTCCTCCTTTCCTTCCACCCTCTCCTCTATCTTGAGATGCAATTTTTTTATTTATTAGGGGAATTTTGTTATGGTGTGATTTTGTTTGTTTGTTCGAGATGCCACGTGGGTCTCGTTTGAGGGCACAGACCCTTGTTAATAGTTGTGTAATAGTGTTTGCAAAATGTGACTACAATTGGCTCTGTACTTAAGTTGCTTGTTTGAAATAGCCAGAAACAGCCAGAAACTGCCAGATATAGGCACTGCCCAAGGCTTTAGGAACTGTGACAAGGTGTCAGATTACAGTCTGTGCTTGCAGACTAAGATAGGTTTAACACCTCGCTCCCATTTCGCGTGATTTTGATAATGTAATTTTGAAAGCCAACTATTTTTCAGTAACATTTGTGAAATCATTAAAATATGACGGATATACTAAGTCAAAATAACACTTACCGAAGGACAAACAGGTTACGGTACCAAACAGCAACTTCCAAAATACACCTATTTTGGGGTTTTTAGCCTGTGTTTAGAAAGACATAATAATATTGTTTAAATCAACAAGAACAAGAAAGACAATAACAACAACTAAAAAATAAAAAATAAACTACTTTTAACAGAACCTCATTTTGCCGTGGGTGAGGTGTCATATGAAAAATAATTTCATATAAGATAATAGCATATATTAAAGGTTTACGGATGATTTGCATAACAATTTTGAGCAAAAAAAATGATATTTTAAACACCATTTTTTCCAAACATATGAATTGCCTCAAAATATTTATACAAATTTGACGCTCCTTACTTGGAACTATCTAAAAAAAAACTGTCCTTCAATAAATTTAATATCATATTTATATGTGTTCCCAGAAACCAAATTAGGTTTTCGGTCAAAGAAGTACATAAATTTAGACCTGATTAATTTCAGTTCATTTCGTTTATTTATTTCCACGTCAAAATTATAACAAAAATGCATATCATAATAAATCTTCGATAACAACATACAGTGCGTCCCAGAAAAAACTAAACCGCGAATTATTGATGTTTTGTCATAGCTTAATGACAATTATAACTAATAAATGACACATATTTGTAAAGCTTAGATCCTCCTCATTCATTCGAAGCAACTCATATGATGCATATTTCACGCATGAGGGATTTAAAACAATTTGAAGAGAGGAAACCAAAAAGTCATTTGGCGGGTGGTATCTGAATTTCAAAGAGAAAAACACATACTATAATTGATAATATTTTCTCAAACGTATTAGATAATAAACAGAATGTAATAATATACTATGATGTTTCAGACCATTTATCCATATTTACGATATGTCCGAATGATAAACACTTATTAAATTTTCCCGAAAAAGAACATACAACACGACGTAATTTTATTAACAAACTTCTTTGTCATAATGATTAAAATGTGCCACTCACAAGAATTGAATCAAATAAAAAGAAAAAACGACTATGGATTATTCAAGGTATACTTAAAGAGAAGGTTGAGTTCTGGGAAGAGGTGAAAAATTAATTTGTGAGCGTTATCATTGTTATTATGCAAGGGTGGAAGAACATCAGATAAAACATGTTCTCTGAAAAGCATGGTTCTTCAAATGCTTTCATATTCTAAATATGGTATGTAACATCGTAAAAATCGGGACGGATTTTTACGCCACGTGTTTGTGTAGTCCCATATAAATCATTCTGTGTACAGTGCTTGAAACTTTACAAAGACTTGGCCAAATTTCTTATCACTTTGATGATTCCAGAACCTTGCAATACACACAAATACTTATATGCTAGATGATCAACGTTTCCTGGTCGATTCCACACCGTTTCTTTCACAATGCAATCGCATGACCAGAACTCAACTTTATCTTTAAATCAATATCTACTCTAATTCGTTCATATAAAATCTGACTTCGATAACCTACACATATTGCTCCTTTTAGTCTCATTTCACAACGCCCCCTATCGTCAGAGCATGGTCAGAGTCAGCAGCCTAACATGTTAGCCTATGGACGTTTTTTTTTTAAATCGTTAAAAATCCACTTTTTGTTTAAACGAAAAGCACATCCACCCCGACGTACGTTATCACTAGCTCTTTCATTGGAGCCCTCATGTCTCATTGACTTTTGAAAGTTCACCCACCGTAATTTTTCAAAATAGGTTGCAAGCTCGTCATTGCCTATAATACACATGTAAAACAAGTCTAACTTTGGACTCAGTTTGCTAAGCGATTTGAAGATTATAGGTCGAGCATACGAAACATAAAAAGCATGAATTATCATAGATCACTCTACCTATTTCATTATGTCCATTTCATCCAACCCCCCACCGTAATTTTTCCATTTAGTAAAAGCAAACATTTAGCCGAGGTAAGCAAAAACATGAATATTCATGACACACCATGGACTATTCGGTTATTAACAGAGGGGTGCAATCGGTCATCACGTCAAACTCCCCTAATTGCCACCAAGTATTTCATATAATTATATAGTTTGGTATGTTTCTTTTACTCACTCATGAATTATTGAATATCAATGATGGTTTAAAGAAATGTAAAAGAAAATTTAGTTGATATTTATTAACAAAGTAATTTATATTTAGCAAAGCAATCTCACATACAAAATTACTATCAAGTGTCGTCTGCTGTGGAAGTGGCGAGGCGGTATGGTTTGAATAACTTAGGCACGTGAAAGTTATTGTATTGCAAAGGAAAGGAATGTTCAGAAAGGCATAGAGAGGGAAGTGGGCGTGGTAGCCATTCTAGCTTTGCACCTACATCAGTACGAGAATACACCCGACGGCGCGGTGGCCTAGCGCGCGAACACATCACACCCAATGGCATACACCCGGTACCCTGCAACACAGTTGAACATTCTAAGAAATTAAAAAATTATCTACAAAATGGACCTCTTGAATCATCTGAGAAGTAACTTAACCTATTCTAATTACTTCAATGAATGTCAAGATAACAATGGCTGCA